AAAATTAAAAAAATATAGATTTAGAAGAAATATCAAGAAGTAAGACAAAGATGAAGGTGTTCAACGCGCTGAAAGGATAAGCTTTATGTTGTAGAAGGACAACGAAGAAGGTAAAACTTAGAAGACAGGTAGGTAGAATAAGGATTCAGTGGTACTCATTTTTTTTTATTTGATAGGTAGGATTGTTTATGACCATTGGATTTCTTGAATCGATATGTAGATCTGATTAGTTTCTCTGTTGACTGTTTTTTTATTTGGAATTTAGTATAGCAAAATCTTTCCGGTACAATGATTGTTGTTATCAGTTTATGACTTGCAATTGGGCTTCTTTTTTGGGCATCATTTAAATCTGATTTAGAACCGAGAGTTTTAGGCTTTGAAGGCTATCAACGGGCCAGCCCATTATATTTTATTCAATTTGAGTCCAAAATCTTGATGGAGGAACACCCCTAGTTAGCAATTGGGCATGCGGGAATAATTCGGGATGAGTATAATTCGAGTATTATTTGATTTTTCAGAACAAAGAAACTCGTCATTCAGTATGTACTCATTCGTAGACAAGTACAAATGTACAATACGAAGGTAGAAGACAAATTTGGAATAAAAAAATTGGTAAAATAGATAAAATATATAATGTATTTTACATAATTCTTACTTAATGCAAATATGCAATGTCAAAATTTTCTGTCATAGTTATGTATGTACTTTCTTAAAATTCTCACGTTATACAATATGTTATGTTTCAAGCTAACGGTTGCTTATGACTCTTTTTTTTCAATGTGGCTACCTTATCTTTTTTTAAAAATTATCTTATTTTCCAACACATATTATGAAGGCATGTGCTCATTCTCACTCAAAATCCCAAAAATACAAGCTCTAATTTCTATCTCTCACCCAAAATCCTCAATTATACAATGTCTTATTTTTCTTCTTCCATTATAAACTCTCGTCGTTCTTGCAAATGTGGAACCCTTTGTTTATCCAATGGCTGAAAACCATCATTTGTTCAATCAATTATTGCATCTTTATGATAATGAAACCATTTTATCTCAGTTAAACCAATCACCAATCAAAAACTCAAACCCAAATTCTCTTGTATCTACTTTCAATCGTATGAATTTGTCAAACACCCTTCCTCCATCAAATCTTTCTTTTTTAGTCAATAGACTAGTTATTGAAAACCCTTTGATTAATACTTGGACTCTTGAACGTGGGTATCTTATTGATGACATTAATATGAAGAATTAAATGATTCGACAGAAGATGATGACTCAAAGTTTAAAGCATTTTAATGGTGGTGTTTGTGATCAACCCCTTTATAATTTTCAAGTTCATCAGTTAATGAATCATACATGTTGTAACTCTTTGGAAAAAGTTAGGGGTTTGATTGTAGCTACTGCAAAAAATTCAGTTGTATATTTTTGCAGAAGAAATTTGAAGGGAGTAGCAAAAAAGATATTGAGATGATTTATATGGAGAATAATGATTATATTTATGAGTTGATGGTTGATCAATTTGCGAATTATACATTTAAGACAATTTATTTGTTAAATATTAAGTTATTTGAACAAAGCATGTGATACACACATGCTGTA